TTTATATTCAATTGGATCATGATTTCATCTGAGGAAATATGAAATTCAATTTGATGGTGGATCTAGATGTCACCTTCTGTCAGGGTCTATGCAGATTAACTAGTTTTAATGAATCTGCTTTTTTTTTTCTTTTTTTTTTTCAGAATTTTGGCATTTTTTCCCGTGTTAGGTTTTGAAACTTTGATAGACCTTGTCGTATTTTCTAGCTTTATACGTTATACTCTATAATGGTAGATTAGATGAAGTGTGCCTCATTTTTTCTATTTATAGATTATGACATTTTGTTTTAATAACAAATTGAATCACTCCAGTAGATACTGTTTCACACCACTACTGTACTTCCCTTAACTCGTACTGAATAGTTTTACACATACCTTTGATTACAACTATTTATGTCTGAGTGGTACAATTCTAAAATGGTTTGTTTTAGAACATTTTTTGTATTCACGTGTCAGAGATCAATGACTACACACAAAGGACGTTGCTTGGCAGAATCCTTCCCATTTTTCACTTCACATGTCACAGGCTAGCCATAAGTACGGTTGTTAGTGAATCGAATGTTCGCGAACAAAAGTTTGTTTGAGCTCGTTCATTTGTTAAGCGAGTTGAGTTCAAACGAAAAATTAGGCTCATTTATCAATCGAATGAACACGAGCTCGTTCGTGAATGTTCGAGAACATTACTTCATTATAATTTTATTTTATTTTTTTATATATTTACATGTTTTTTTTAATAAAAACATGATATAAAATATGTTTTTATTTTTATTTTTTTTCAATTTTCGAGTTCGAATGAGATTGGACGAATAGATTTTGAGTTATTCAAACATATTTAAAAAAATTGTATCCTAAATTATTCAATCACTAATTGACTCGAACTTTGACGAACAATTAAACGAATGAGTTCGAATACGAATTTTTGCTAGAAAAATAAACGAATGAAAACGAACAATGTTCGAACGTAAACAAACACGAGCTCGGCTCATTTGATTAAATTACAGCACTAGCCATAGCCGAGTCAACGAAACTGCAAAAATTTACATGAATCATGACTGATGTAACAGCAAAAATGTGTTGTGAGAAAAGGAAAAATACACGTCTCTCTCTCTCTCTCTCTGTGATAGTCTAACTTGAACAAATATGAATCTTGCACCAAAATGATTTCCAAATTTGCTCGGTATAGCCTGTCTAATGAATGTTTATGCATAACTAAAACAAAGGCTAATATGATCATAATATGGTTTGTAGTATTTTCCAAAAGTACATATTTACATCCTCTCTCTAGATTAGCTGTTATAAAAGATCTTTGGCCTCATTGGAAAACTTGTATGTTATGATTCAGCAAACAAATCGAGAGATAATGGGACGAGCGGAAAATCTCCAATTTCGCATTGAAAATAGAAATGAAAAACTTAACACAACATGTCAAAATCCAGAATTTCAGCGCACCTCATTTATATAATGATAACAAAAGGGCAAATTACTACATATCCAACTTCGTCATTAAAAGGAAAAAAGAAAAGAGAAATGTGCGCTACCAACTTAGAGATGCCTGAAGTAATCCAATCAAGCTGCTGTTGATTTCTTCTTCTCCTCCTCAATTCTTTTCAGCTCAACCAATCTTTCAGCCCAGGCTCTTTCCCTTGCAACTGCAGCCATCTTTCGTTCCACCCTTTTCAATAACTTTTTCTTTCTAGCCTCCTGCATTTGAGCTTTCCGCTTCCTTTTTTCAGACTACACCGCATCACAGAATATTAGAGATACATAGTTAGAAAATACCTCTGATGGGTATAAAGAACAGGCACAATCTAATATCAAGAACGAGAATGAGTTAGTCTTTGTAAAAATGATAGATGTTTAGAAACAGAATGAGAATCTCAATTTCGTTAAAAAATGTGCAAAGATATGAAACCAATTTTTGGCAGAGAACAAACAGCGTGAAAGAAAACTGCAGTGCAGCTTGCCGAGCTTTGAGATACAGAGAACTTTAGTGAGCCATGGTTATATCTGTCAATAACCACCCGCAACTACCAAAAGGTAGTAGATAAAGAATTGGTCAGCCTCCAATAGTTCTTTAGAAGATGAAACAATTGTGGCACATATTTTAGTACCCCAATAACCTTCTTAATACTAATCCAAACTCCACATGCATTCTTCATAGGACCTATCAAGAGAAGCAACTTGGGGCAGTTTCCAAGAGCAGAAAGCAACAAAACATATCCAAAGTCGTCATTATCCTAAAATCAGACTAGAGCTCAAAAAACAAATCGATCTGTCTGCAAAAATGGGATTAAAATTACAATCATGCTTAAGAATAAATTCTGCAATTTCTGCAGCTGTCACTTGGATCATCTATAATCAGATCCAAGGTCAACCTCAACCAAAAATAGGACCAGGATAACTCATAACGAAAGGTCAAAATTCAGCCCATTTGTATACTTAATTTCTATGAGATTGTATTCAGTTGAAGAAAGCATACCAGGAAGAGTTGACTAGATGAGTGCCTAAACTCAGTCCAAGCAAGAACAAATGAACCAAAAGTTCTCCAAATTTTATCTTCAGTGACTATAAACTCTCTGGTGAAACATAAAACTAAAGTTTATCTTCATGTCTGTTAAATAATCTACACAAGCACTACAACCTTGAATTACCGCCTGAAGTCACATACATTACGTTTATACACATTTCCTTCACCTCCTAGTCCTAAAATCATTACAAATAAAACCCATCCAAAGGTAAGTTAGGTTTTTAGATGATACAGCATTTTTTCACATCCTCGGGCATCTAAACTAGGCAGATACCATTGCCAGCAAGAAATTTACCAGATTAAAAACTTAGGACACATCACTCCTCACAAGTGCACTGCAAAAGGTAGTTCTAACTCCAACTTCCAAGAGTTCAATGTGCATCTCTTTGCAAGTAGCACCTCAATCACAATACAATTTACGAAACTGAACAACTAAGAGAAATGTACCATTATAAATTGGCGATGCTGCTTGATTCTTTTCTTCTCATTCCTCCTCTTCACACTTCCTTCATTTGGTTGGTTTGGAAGTATCGGTTCCCCAGGCACACATTTCACCCAGGCATATGGACCTACCATTAATTTCCCAAAGATGTGTTATAAATTTTCAAAGGCTTCAAAGCTTAATCTCACAGCATTATATTTTTTTAAAATGGAGAAAAATAAATGACGATGCCAAAACCCTAAAGCTCCTTACCTGGTGGTTTCAAGCTGGCCCTTTTGCGGCGGGGATGGTCGCTGGGTCTACGTTTGGGGTACCTGGTATCCGTAAGGCTGTGGAATGCACTGCAAGGCCTAAACCACGGTGTGTTGCGGCGGAAGGGGACGGGTAGGTGGCGGAGCTCCGGGGGAGAGAGGGGAGAGAGGTTTTTCGACGCTTGGGATAAATGAGAGACGGGTAAAAGGATCCTTGATACCGGCCGGAGAATGGATTTTAGGGCTCCAAAACCCATGGCTGTTCAATGCTCCGGATTGCGAGCTGATTAGTATGGAGTGGGAAAATGGCGTCCCGATTTGTTTTTGGACGGCCTAGAGACTGGAAATCAGGTGACATGAGACGGAGCGATCGAAACGACGACGCAGGAGTGTTTATATACTCCCCAATCCCCATGGTGGTGTTTAACTTTTGTTCGGTCATAGTATTTCGATTTTAGAATCCAAATTATAGATTTTGACCTATGGATTTTTTGTAAATTACGCGTCTCCATAATAGGTTTTTTCACCAAAAAAAAATAAATTTAAGCACAAATTTAATTGAAAAACGTATTATGAAAATACGTTTTTCCCATGAAAAACGTATTTTGAAAATACGTGTTTCAATTAAATTTGTGAAGAAAACGTATTCAGTGAATACGTGTTTTTGATTTTTTTCCACTCTTTTTTTTTTTGTTTTTTTTCTGTCCACTTGTTCTTTTTTTGTTTTTTATATATAAATTCCCCCTCCATAATATGATGAATAAGAGTTATTCTTATTTCTTCCATTGAACATTATTTTCATGATTATTCATAATTATTTATTGCGTTTTTAGCTCAAAATCTTGCATAACATATTTTTCATTTATTTTATATGTTTGAAAATCAGTTGTACAAAATTGAGTTTGAGCCATTTTTGACTGATTTTTTTATGGCTAAATATTTAATTCGTGTTAATAAAATTGTGTAGAAAAAATCTACGTTCCGAGTTCACACCCGTGGTATCTTTATTTTTGTAAACCTGATTTTCCCTAAGTGAGAAATAAATAATTAAAATTAGTCATTAATGGATACGTAAAACGATGGTTGTGGAACTTGAAAGATCAAAAGTCATGTCTCACATCTATACTTATATTAAAAGGTATCCCATTTACCAGATTTAGAATAAAGAAAAGTCAAAAGTAATTAATGTTTGTTGAAAATAGAATGACATTAATTACAGATTTATTTTGGTATTTATAGTTTGACATTAAAGATTTGTTATGGGATAAAAATCAGAACCGATTTTTTTACCTTTGCTGGAAAAGTCAAATGTAAGTGTAGATCTATTTTATTCCATAACATCAGTTTAGTTAAAATAATCTCATAAAATCGATTTTAATGTCAAGCCTATAAATAAAGATTTAATCGGTTTTAATAAAGCAGATTTAATCGATTTTAATAATTGCATAGAATTTCAAAGCTGTTATTTATTGAAAAATAAATAAATTCTTAAAAAACATTTGTGTATATTTTGTAAAATGTTTGTACAAAATGTTTTACTTTAAATTATTTACATAATTTAAATTAATTACATTAATAAATAATATGAACATACATTAAATATTTTAATTACATAAAACAAAAAGAAGAAGAAGATTACATCTATAACTTATAATAATAATGACATTATACTACAATAAATTTTATAATGAAATAATATAAGTATTATACGAGGAACAAGATTACGTAAAATTGTTATTTTTCTTATATCAATGAATAAATATATATAATGAAATCAAATTTATATTATTACACTACAAGAATAATCATTATTAGCGACACTAATTTTAGTGACGACATTAATGTCATGACTATAAAATGATTATTGTGACGATATCCGAACATATAGCGACATTATTAGCGACGGTATTTTTTGTGACGACATTTGAACATATAGCGACAAAAATTTCCGCCACTAAAAATGATTATTCTTGTTGTGTTATAAACATGTGAGCGAGATAATATATTAATTAATTTACGGGATAGCGCTACCAGACTCAGGTTTAATGTTGCGACAAAAAAAAATGACGTTGATGAAAAGATGTAAAAAAAATAGATGATCAAACTCTATTACTTTTTAGAACCGAACGGACAAGCCCTATGGTCCACTCATTTAATATCTCCCGTGAATCGCACGAGCTACTTAACGGACAAGTTGATAACTCATTAATACTTATGTTACGTGCATCGCACGGGCTACGTGCTAGTTGGATTCTTAAATGAGATTAACTCTCTTTAGTATAATAAAAAGAATTGGAGAGGTCAGAACAATAACAAAACTATGCACCAAGTGTTGGTGATGGTTTCGGCCACGCGTGCGCCCGCCAGCTGGCTCGGCTCGAACTTGGGCACGGGCTTGGGCCTCAACAATTGGATCGTAGGTTGGACTTGATCGGTCTTGGATGGTTAAGGCAGGTCTGGACTTGGGCCTTGGGCAAGCCCGTATAATATTTTTACTGGATATTTATTTACAAAATTGTGGCTCAAAGTAAAATCCAAACCGAGTTGGGTTTGGACTCGGGTTTTGACCTTACCATATGAGGTCCCTTCCAAAAACTTTGTATATGGACAATTAACTCCTCATGAAACTCCACCTAATTGTTTCAGGTGCATTAGTGGCGTGTTAACACTTGAAAACAACAGGCTTAAGACCTAATCGTTTTTTTCCACTTACAACAATCACTAGTGGGTTGTTACCTGCCTTAAGTGGCTGAAGTCCAGTAGTTATCCCCTAGTTGCTGGAAGTCCCTATAAATAGGACATGGTAGACCTGTCGAAAGACACACAATTTCATCTGCATCCTTCCATTCTCTCATAGCCTCATGCATATACATATTGCTCAATTCTTGGCTCCATTCACATTCGTCGGAGCTAAAGAGTCTGTTGTGCTACAACTTTCTAGACGTCAATCATTGTATCTTGGGGGACGAGACCCCTAAACCCGTCAGCAGACCCGGCCCAGGGCCCAATTGAAGGAAGGGGCACCAAGATGCAGTTATATGACATCTATGTATACAGTAAAGGCCCAATAAATTACTATAGGGCTCTATAACATATATGTATATGTCTAAGGCCCAATAAGTTACTATAGGACTGTATAAATTAATGTAATGGGCTATTAAAATATAAGAAAAAGCACCACTTAGGGCACATTGGAGGATGAGAAAAATTTCGGGAACTCACAACGCCTTTTTCCTTTGACTTGCGGGTTTGCGCTCTCTTCCT